ACGCTCGCCATTCGCTCCGACCTTAAAACGGAAACCGTGTGTGGTAGGTTGACGTTTCGGGCAATGGCCCTTCTTCAGAGCAGACAGGAAAGCTACTTGAACAAATAAAAGTATGAAAAATAAGAATATATTCTACCCTTCCTGTCAATAAAACAGGTATTAAGATGTTCAAACACCAAACAGAAACCTTTGGTAAGGAACGAAGTCTGCATTAACCACACGTACTTGTGGTGAACATGCAAACACAAGCATGCTCTTTGAAACTGATTGGCCTCCGCCAGAGACATCCTTCTTTATGGCCTCACCAGTGTCAGACCAAAAAACGCAGCAAGGCGAAGAATAAAAAGACAATGCACGTATCAGAGCATTTGTAATGAGACGACTTCCGAGACACAACTCGTACAGGGTTTCTTGTTTATTTCTCGACTTAAGTGCAGGGTTACGGAGTAACATAAGCGCCGGGTTACTTCGAGTTTAGCCACCCATACAGCCACATCGGCGACGTACACTATATAACCAACTGACTATATAGCGACGACGACGATGAAGACTATCTAGCCGGCTGGCTATGCAGCGACAACAACAACGAAGATGGCAGCGATGGCAGCGGCGACAGCCAGGACCCGAACCCCCGCGACAGCCCCGATTCCCCGTTTGCCTCTCCATTATATCCCTCCAGCATAGCCAAGCTCCGCCCCTGGCCACGCCCCACTTCTGAAACGCTCTCATTGGTTACAGAGCTTCCAGATTCATCCCCGCCTTGACCCTTAGCCTAGTTATGGCCCCCTTGAGGTTACTTATATGTGTGCGATTCTATAATGCACCCATACCCGTAGTTAGCTCCCAGATGGCACCCTGTTACTACATCACTACATAACCCACCCCCCCCCCATGTTTAAAAGATACCCGTCCCGGCTAATACCAACATCAATTAATACATTTAGGCAGAACAATTCCGAAAACGAGAAGGACAACAACAACAACAAAACCTAACATCATCCATGATAACGGTAAGGGAGAAAGAGAGAAAAAAATACAAGCCAACGTGCGTCACGCGCAAACCCGACCCCAACGAACCCCCCCCCCCCCCCCCCCCCCCGCACACACACACAGGGAGATTCCTATTAACGGAACGTTTCGACCGGGTCCGTTACACCGGTCCATCCTTGGGGGCAAACTTTTTCTTCTCTCCAGATGATGGGGACTTGCATAAGAGCCTTAAAGGATTCGGCTCCTCCCCTGATTCCTTAGAAGACATTGACCAGGCTGTAGCCGGCGGTCCATCACATGCAATCTCGTGACTCCGCGGCCTTCAGGGGCTCAGAAACTGTCGGGGCTGGGATGCGGCCGTCGGCCGAGCGGAGGACGTCAGCGCTGTCGTCGAGGGTCATGCGTAGTTCTGGCACCCCCGCGCGAAGTGTCCCAGCTGCCCGCACCGGAAGCAGGTGACAGCAGGCCTCCGCAGCAGCCAATCTGCCTCCTCCCCTGGTCTCCAACCTCGAGGTCGTCGCATGCCCTCCCCACGACCACGACTCTACGCTGAACCACAGCCGCAACGTCCCTGTCCGGCAGCGGGTCCACGGCTGGCGGCACCCCGACGCCCCGTGGCGACCAGTCAGCCAGGTTGCACTCCTGCCCGGGCTCACCCGTTCATGCCGCCATCTGGGACCACCGGTGCAGGTTCTCATGGGCCTGCAAGCACCTGGCGGCCCAACGAGACATCTGCGTGTCCTCATCAATGACCGGCAAGACAACCCCCATCTCTTGTGCCAGCCCCAACATCCTTTCCATGACGAGAGAGTCGAGGGCTGTCCAGTCAATCGCTTGGAACGCTGCCTTTCCCAATGCCAACAGCGCATTGTGGTAGGCGAGAGGCATCTCGGCCTCCCCTCGCCTCTGCTGCAGGCATTTCCTGTGCGTGTTGGAAGACGCATCGTACACGGCCAAAATCTCGCTGTAAGCTTGCTGAAGGGTGGCCCGCTTTCACTTGGTACAGCCCAGAATGCCTGCAAGGGCCTTGTCATCCAGCGCAGTCGGCAGGGCCCTCCTCGGTCCAGTTCACTGACCGGTACGTCGCTTCGAAACGCCGAGTGAAGGCACTTCAGTTGCCCCCCGCTGCAATAAATTTGCGGACGGGCGGCAACTGTCAGGGGCCAATTGGGCCATTTTCCACATGCTACTGGAGCTGTTGTCGCCTCCACCGACTCCTGCTCTTGTTGTAAAATGGTGGCCCCCGGCCGTGTTTCCTACGCAACGCTCGTAATGGCGGCCGCCCCGCACGCGGACTTCTCTGCGGGAATTTCGGCCGCCGGCGCTGGTCCCGCTCTCTCCGGCGAGGTCCATGTGGCCGATCCCGCTGCTCCTGTCCCCGCCGTAGTCATGCTCACGAGCATGACGAGCTGTGCGACCCTCTTCCACAGGAGCTCGAGCTGCGCTGACACCACACGCTGTCCGTCGTCGGGCTGTGACTGCGGAGGAGCAGCTCCTGCCTCCTCTGCCTTTGGCGCAGTCCGTCCCGTTGCCGCCGAGTCGGTAACCGGGAACGCGTTTGCCGGGGCTGCAGGGGGGCTGTCCATGTCGTCTTCATCCTCGTCGGAAGACGCCACAGGTGGGTTCCGTGTCTTCTGGTATTTCGACATTTTCTTCTTTGCCTTGTCCACTTCTGACTCCAAATGGAATGAGACGACTTCCGAGACAAAACTCGTAGAGGGCTTCATGATTATTTCTCGACTTAAGGACAGGGTTACTTCAAGCTTAGCCACCCATACAGACACATTGGCGACGTACACTATATAGCCAACTGACTATATAGCGACGACCATGATGAAGACTATCTAGCCGGCTGGCTATGCAGTGACGACAACGATGAAGAGATGGCAGCGATGACAGCGACGACAGCCAGGACCCGAACCCCCGCGACAGCCCAGATTCCCCATTTGCCTCTCCCTTATATCCCTCCAGCGTGGGCAAGCCCTGCCCCTGGCCACGCCCCACTTCTGGAACTCTCTCGCTGGTTCCAGGAGCTTCCAGATTGATCCCCGCCTTGACCCTTAGCCAAGTTATGCCCCCCTTGTGGTTGCTGATGTGTGCCGTTCTATAACGCACCCATACCCATATTTAGCCCCCATGGTCAACAGATGGCACCCTGTCGCTACTCATTTATAGCTCGGGTTGAGCAGCTATATCATGGGGACCTTCATACTTTGATACTGGCAAAAAGGTCCCCAGGATAGAGAAGTTTACTGTTTTTAGCTGGAGATTGGACTGTGGGCCTCGAAGACGAGTAGAGATGAAATTTGGAAGGTGAACAGGGTCAGTAGACATTACGTCGCAAATAAACCCTTGAGAAATTGAAAGCTACTTGAACAAACAGATTTAAATAAATGTTTTAATTATTACGTGCCTTGAGCGCTTAATAGTTTACAGCTATTTGTCAACCCCTACTGGATGGAGGCCTATCCACACTGTGTTCCTGTGTCGATTTGTTTGACCATATTTCACCACACTGGTCACGTTGGTGGAGGGGTGGGGGGGGGGGGGGGGTGCCCGGGATTTTTTCAGATGCCATTTGCCGCTGATGTGTGCCGTGGCCCGGAATTAAACTCAGGTGACAGGGTTCGTAGTGCGATGCAGGTATAACTGCACCACCGCTGCGCCCTAATTCTACACTGGGACAAATGCACTCTCGAATCGTGCGTGACTTGAACACTTTTCAAAAAATATTTTATTGAGCCCTTTCATCAGGCAACAGCCAGATTTGTGGAGAAGTCCACCTGTTTTATTCCTTATATAGAGGCGTAGATGTGGTGACCTCACTTCTGCGCAAAGTGGGGGGGGGGGTTAATGAGCTAATGTAGATTATGCATGCGCATTATGCGAGCACTAATCAACAGTGCATTGAATGCCAAAACCAAATCAAGCACAAATCAACAGTGCATTGAATGCCAAAACCAAATCAAATAACACGAGCATTGAAACTGCCCAAGTAATTAAAACGATCAAAATACCGTACATTGCGCGAGTAACTGATAAACTAGCCAGATGTTTGGAAAAACAAAACATTCGAGTCAGATTTGGCAGGGTACATAAAATACAGAAAAAATGTTGGTACAAAATATGTATTACCGAAGCAAATGTTATGTAACAGGACGAATGATCAGCACGAGACTAAAATAACATCAGAGAAATATTAAATACACGTAGATAGAAAAATAATTTTAAAAATCACGACGTTTCGATCGCAACACAAGCAATTGTCCTTAGGTCTATTTTACCGAAAGACCCAAAGAGTATGAATCCCTGCAGTCACGAAAGCTTTAAGTCAAGAAATATTAAATACTCCAAAATACAACTGTCAGCAGCAGCAGAACACGTGTGCCAACAATGACACTCAATTTATTTTGATAATGTTGAAGTTCTGTTTCAAAACTAGCTACGACTGGCCAAGGTTAATTAGAGAATCTATCGAAATTGAAAGAAATACAAATAAGTTTAACCGTTCGGATTGCTACCGACTTCGTGCTGCGTGGAAGCGAATCATTAAAATAATACATTGTTTAAATGCATGCATATACAGAGCACCACACTTCAATAGGGATTACCGTTGGTACGGCTTTTTAAATGCATACAATGGACAGGAAGGACAAGATCAAAGGGCACGCATAATGCGCATGCATCATGTACGTTGACCAAGTAATCCCCACTTTGCGCAAGAGCGTATAAGCGTGGTCACCACATCTACGCCTCTACAGTATATAAGTAACGAAACAGGAGGACTTCTCCACAAATATGGCTGTCGCCTGATGAAGCTAGTTGTAATTACTGGCGAAACGTCGTACTCAGAATGTAAATGTTGTGGCTTGGCTCTCCAACACACCGGTTAGTGCTGTACTAGTAACGAATTGGCCACGTTCTGTTTACGTGACAACCCTTAATAGTTGGCTGTGTCGGGTGGTGGCGGGTTTTAACAACACATTAATATATTTACGCGATCTCACCCAAAAAAAACCTCTATTATTGACCCTATATATTCACACGAACACTTTCCCTGAGCTGAGCACCAACAAAATACAAGCTGTACCTTCCTACTGCAACAAAAAAAATCACGTTACTGCTGAACGTTCTGTTTTCGCGAAAGCTGTGCTCATCATCACCGAATGGAGCCAGCCTCACTCTCTCTCTCTCTCTGCATGGCCTGACCCCCTCTGCCCCCCGCGGTCGCGCGAGAGACGGGAGGGAGTTGATACAAATGCTCGTGCATGCAACGAAGCCCCGGCACCCTGCGATGGGCATTCGGAGCTGAGCACTGCTAGAGCGATGTGTTCTGCGTGCGCTGCGTCTCCCGCCCCGACCCAGCGCTCGGGCTGAGGTTCGGCAGGATAACCCAGAACTCGACGTCGGCGGTGAACACTCGCGACTCACTGCAAGAGCTGAACCACCTGGGTTCGACACCTGGCTCGGGCGCCTTTCCCCGTGGAGTTGTTATGTTTGTCCCACCGGGGTTTGCACGGGTTGCCTCCAACAGCCAAAATAATAACGTGGTGCAATGTGACTGGCACTGTCTCACGAAAAAAGCAAAAATCACGGAGATGGTTGAATTCCCGGCGTGACCTGGTGCAGGCTTCTGCTGCTATGCCCCCTCTCCGCACGCCTCCACCCCCCGGTCGTATTGTTGTACTGAACTTCTATGCTCCCCACTTTACCAACCCGATCGGACCGGCATGGTGGCTTGGAAATGGGCCCTCATCAAGCAGTGGCTAACACAGCAGGGCTGTACTTACAGTCGCGTTAACCGTCTGGCTAACACAGCAGTGCTGTACTTACAGTCGCGTTAACTGTCGTGACTCGTTATACAGGACAGGACACAAGAGACCACAGCCTATAAAAAATATTAACTTTGAAAAAAAAAAGTCAATATTTTTCAAAACGTTATTTTATTGGACAGAGAACAAACAAACGCTGATGATACATTCAATGTCAAACACCGATCTCGAGTTTGCTTGTGTACACAAAACACGTGTAGCTAGCACAGGGTGCAGCAGGAGTGCGGAGCTGTAGTACAGTGGTTAGTGCGCTGTGCTACAACCAGAGTTCAATCCCCGCTCACGGCTGCCAACGCCAGTGACAATTCTCGGAACCGGCTCTAGGACTCCCCTAGGTTAAAACTCAGCGTCAAATGAGTACTTGGTGCGGTGTGTGTAAACGTCGCCATTCGGGATACAAAGGCGGCCGGGCGTGGTGCTGACCACCCACTCATTAGTGTCCCGTACTGACTTTCACAGCGCCAACAGCTCTTGTCCCGAAAGTCTGTTGAGGCTATTCGAGGGTTTTGTTCATCTTTGTTCTCACAGAGGAACCAAAGAGTACGGCTTCTGACGATAAAAAAATGTCACGTAAATGACGACGTTCTTTATGCTCAGAACGACGAGGACGAGGACGCCGGACCCGTGTGCCCCCATCGCCCCGCCACGCGCCCCCGTCCCTCCCGCGTCGCTCAGTAGAAGGCGTCGACGCTCGCGTTGCGGAGTTCCCCCTCGCTGGCGAACTCGCGGTAGCGGAACCTCCGCATGGCGTCGCGGCACGCGTCCTGCGCGGCGCGCGCGTCCTCGAAGCTCATGCTCCACCTCCACTTGCGCGCCACGGCGAGCGAGCGCAGCCTCTCCACCTCGAACCCTCCGGGCCCTTCCCTCTGCCCCTGGGTCATGTCCCGCACCCAGGACGACACGGCGGCGGGCAGCTCAATGCCGGCGAAGCGGAACATGTCACGCGTCGTCCGCTCGGGCCTGCTCACCAGGTCCTCGTAGCGCACCGCCATGTAGGCGCCTCTCAGGGCGTCGCTTCCTCCCTCCTCTCCTCGTCGACCGCTCACGCTGCGCGCTGCGTCCTCCGCGACGGCTGCGCCGATGTCGTCCATGCCTCGGCAGATCCTCTGCATCACCTCGACGGAGTCCGACTGCTGGTCGACGTTGGGGCGGCCCAGCACCATTTGGTCGTCACCCGCCAGGGAGTAGCCCTTGAGTTTGCGGCGCGACGAGAGGACAGCGCGCGGGTCCCTGACGAGGTGGATGATCCTGAGACGCACCGCCGGATCCGCGACGAGGGGACGGAGAGAGCTGATGTCGAAGAAGCGCACGCTCTTGATCACCGTGTGCCGCCTCTGCTCGCACGCGCGGCCGATCCCCTCGAAGGGGGCGCCGCCGCACGATAGCCAGCACTGGATGCCCGCGCTGTTGTTGGCCACCGCGGCCGCCTCCTCCGGGCACGCGGGGACACTGCAGAGCGCCGTGCTGCTGTGGAACATGAAGAGCGAGTTGAGTCGACGGGGATTGTCGATGTAAAACTGGAGGGCCGTCTCGTCGCAGGCGCACAGCGAGCGCAGCAGGTCCCGCGCGGCGCCTCGCAGCGCCGACTCGCCAGTCTTGTCAAACTTGGTCCAAATGTGCTTCATGGGCTCCATCAGATAGAAGACGCCGGGGTGCTGGTTGAAGAGCTGGCCCAGGAAGGACGACCCAGACCGCCAGCTGGACAGGATGAGGGTGTTGGTGCGACGCGGAGGTTGCGACGTTGCGTCGCCGGCGTCCAGCGCCTGCCACGGACCGCCATGCAGCTGGCCCGGCTTGTGGTAGAACACAGACACGATGCCGGTCAGAGCCAGAGCGAGGGTCCCCAGGAACAGCCGATGGGGATGTGGACGCGCCATGGTTATAGCGAGCTAGATCCTGAACTCTTTCCTCAACTATTCCACTGAACTCTCAACTGAGCTCTTTGCCGAACGCTCTACCGCGTTCTCTCCTGAAATATAAATACTGACTTCTGTAGTAAGCGCTTTTCTGAACTCTCTATTTGTCGCTCCCGAACTCTTTCTCTCTCTCTCTCTATGTCCTCTTACTTTGGACTGCACTCTCTCCTGAACTCTCTGTCGCTGTCTCTAGAACACTTCATTATACACGTACATATATCTCTCTCTCTCGCTATGTTTCTCTCGCCCATGCGGGGTTGCTGGCTCTTGAGCGCCGTTCTGGCCTTTATAGGAGCTCTCGAACAGCATTTATCCCAACAATCATGAGAAGGCAATACCGGGGGCATCATTATCTCTGTCGGCCCCCAGAAAAAAACTGTTTAATCTTTCAAACCCATTCTCTGACCGGGTCACGACGGATCATGTTTGAGGAAGCTACTCTCCTGGAACAATCCCTTCTGAATGTTTTTTCATTTTTTTAATCTAAAAACTAAAGATCATGAGGGACGTGCGTTATGTACTGGCGTATAGATGGAAAACGATTACACATGTTGGCCGTGTTTGGCTTCCAGATTATTACAAAACATCAGATGCGCAGCAACAGAAGGAGACGAGGAAGGCGGTCATTGGGCAATCATTGTTGACATGTTGGCGTGAATTTCTGTCCAGTTTTTGTTTAAAGCCCGAAAGGAGTCAAAATTGGTGATTTGAATCACGCTGTCCACCCAGTCCATGCAGGGTGCCTCTATCATCTTAGTCGATCTGTCCAGTCGGTTACAAACAAACTGCGGATGTTAAAACAAAGGCGATATACGGCGGATTCGTGGAAACACACGCACCTCGCAGAATCAAGGGCCTGGCTTCAATCCCTGCCTCGGGCGCATTTACGTGCGGAGTTTGTATGTTCTCCACCCTCTCCCTAGTTCTGCCTGGGTTTCCTTCGGGTTCTCGGTCTCCACCCAGAGATAAACCACACACTAATGTAACCGGCGTTGACCAATAACGTTCCAATACGGAAAAATCCCCCTGCAAATGACTCAATTGGGATCACATACAGCAGCAGCATGAGCAGCAACATCGCACAACCCTCCCCCCCCCCCCCCCCCCCCCCCCCCCCCCCCCCCCCTTGTGAAAACTGAGCAGGACCCTCCTAAAAATATATATCTTGAGACTCGGTGAAGCTTTCCTGGGTAAAGAATCGCAATGATAAAAAAAATGTTACAACAAAAATTGCATCATCATCGGCAATCGTATGGGAGCTTCCACGCTCGGTGGGTTGTGGTTTAGCGCTCTGGACTTGAGATCTCACAGTTCAATTCCAGCTCCGCGCAGCGGCAGTGGAAACATTTGGGGCGAGTGTTTCAGATTCTCTCTCCAGCTCGCATGGGTTCAACAAAGGTTCACGCCTGGTGGGGTTAAGTGTGTGCACGCGTGGAAGAGTTGACAATATACCCGTTTGCCGATCCTGAATTTGAGTAATTGGTAATTGACCATGAAAACGGACACGGGTTTACTGACTATAAGTTGGCGACCCTCATGCACACGACGAAACAAATACAAAGACCCCCCCTTAAATCGTCAACACACTGTTGGGGCAAGTGCTGTTAGAGAGTAGCACCTATAAACGCATTTCTTTAGTACCGCTTTTTGTGTGTTAGTTTGTTGGCCTTCCCCCGCACCTCTGATTAGCGCGATTGGCTACGTACGGTGCGAAAGAAGTTCAACACAACATACATGAAGGCCATCACGGTACGCGAGTGGGTGGGCGGCCAGAACTACGCCCAACCGCCTTTGTCTCCCCAGTGACGATGTTGACACACCGCACCAGGTACCCATTTGAGGCTGAGACGACCAACACGCGCACCTACACCCACGTGGCACACCCGAACACGTGTGTGCTCATAGTCCTGATGCACAGCTGAATATTATTGAAAGATAGAGTTTTTATTTTAATTTCCAGAAGCATGAGATTCGTTAGGAACCGAATATTGAATGAAGAAGCTAAATATTCAGTTCCTGCAGGAGCTCCCGGGCACGTGGGGTAAAACGTCGGACATGGTGCCGTAACAAAGATCCCCTTTAGCCTTAACAGACTGTAGGGGCAAGTGCTGTTAGCGAGCACCTTTCAATCCCGGAACGGCACACGAGGGGGTGGGTGGCCAAAACCACGCCCATCCGCCTTTGTCTCCCCAGTGGTGATGTTTACACACCGCACCAGGCACACTCATTTGAGGCTGAGTCGACCTAGGGGAGGCCCAGGACCGGTTCAGATAATCGTCACTGGTGTTGGCCGTGAGAGGGGGAATCGAACTTGGGTGGTTGAGTTCGTAGCCCAGCGCGCTAACCGCTGCACCACCGCTCCCCCACGGTGCCGCAACAATGCGCAGCGCGTCCCACACGAGACCCACACGAGACACGCTCTTACATTTGCTAACTCTTCCGTCCGCTCAAATCCACTCTCCATCCATTATGCCGGCCCCATCTATTTGCATCCATTAGCCTGCAATCCAGCAATCCACTTTACATCCCATCCTCAGTCCAAGCAACACGCCCATTGATTATCACATCCGGCCCAACTACCAGCCCCGTGGGTCAGGTGTGCTCTCAATTAATTAATTAATCCATCCATCTTCCCATCCATCCATTCCTTCGTCCGCAAGCCCTGCCACTCGCTCATCCATCCGCACCGCAGCGCCTCCTACCCTCTATATCCATATCAAATATCCATTCATCTCCATCTATCAGCTACATCTATTTTTCCCCATCACTTTTGTTATTTCTAAGCGGAGCCATAAATATTCATTATCGCAACACGCCAGAGATATTCCCGCTGTGTGTCTATCGTTCCCCCCCCCCAAATCCCGCTCCCCTCTCCGCAGTGCGTCCCTTTGGTGGGGTAAGAGGCGGCCGAGCGGACGAGAGAGAGAGAGCGAGCGACCCCTCTTTTGGAAATGCCTCGCGTTTTGCCGAGTAGATGGGGGGCCGAGTTCGGCTATTGGTATTCGTCCGCGGTCGCCAATGGCCGGGCAGAGCTTATTACTGCCAGGGCGTGCGACACTTTGTCAACAGCAATCAACAACAGCATATCTGCGATGAAAGGCGAGCCAATCTCGGTGAAGCCAAATTGTGTTGTGGTGCAGCGGGACAAAAATTGGCAATTATTTTTAATGATAGCGGGCGACACCGTCGAGCCTCCGGCAGCCCGCGCTTGTAGCCAGCACGCGAAATTCAGGAATTAATTTTGAATCGGGGGGCTGGAGGGGGGCTGAAGGTGGGGGGGGGGGGCTCCTCTTCTGGAAACGCCACGCTTCTGCGGATATCCAACTCAGTTTGAGAGACCGACCGCGATCAAGCCGGCGGTTGGCCAGGCAGACGGGTAGACCCTCTAGACCCTGTAGACCCTGTAGACCCTCTAGACCCTGTAGACCCTGTAGACCCTGTAGACCCTCTAGACCCTGTAGACCCTGTAGACCCTCTACACCCTGTAGACCTTCTAGACCCTGTAGACCCTGTAGACCCTGTAGACCCTGCAGACCCTCTAGACCCTGTAGACCCTGTAGACCCTGTAGACCCTCTAGACCCTGTAGACCCTGTAGACCCTCTAGACCCTGTAGACCCTCTAGACCCTGTAGACCCTGTAGACCCTGTAGACCCTGTAGACCCTGTAGACCCTCTAGACCCTGTAGACCCTGTAGACCCTGTAGGCCCTCTAGACCCTGTAGACCCTGTAGACCTTGTAGACCCTCTAGACCCTGTAGACCCTGTAGACCCTCTAGACCAGTGGTTCTTAACCTGAGTTCGATCGAACCCCAGGGGTTCGGTGAGTCGATCTCAGGGGTTCGGCAGAGCCCCCGCCACGGAGGTCCGGACACACTTGAATTATTGTGTAAATTTGTGATGACACACACGGCCTGCTTGGCCATCACTGGCTGCAGATGATCATGCAACACTGCTTGGCCAATCAGCGCTGCGGGGAATTTAGTGCGTACTCAGTAGTCAACGTGTGACTGTTGTTGTCGTACGTCGTGTGATTTCTTTAATATATTATCCATATTAACTATGTCGGGCAAAAGAAGAAAGTGGTCGGACGAATATGTACAACATGGATTCTCATGTATCACGGAACGTGATGGGAGTGAGCGTCCTATCTGCATGATTTGCAACGCCAAGTTGAGCAACTCTAGTCTTGCACCGGCAAAACTAAAGGAACACTTCTTGAAGCTGCATGGAGACGGGGAATACAAGAACACAACACTTGCTGAATTCAGGGTGAAGAGAGCCAGATTCGATGAAAGGGCCACTCTGCCTGCTCTTGGATTTGTACCTGTTAACAAACCGATCCTGACAGCATCGTACGAAGTTGCTTACCTGATCGCAAAGCAGGGCAAGCCACACACCATTGGTGAAACACTTGTGAAACCAGCTGCATTAAAGATGGCGAATCTGATACTCAGAACAGCGGCCGAAGGTAAATTATCCCAAATTCCCCTTTCAAATGACACCGTCAGTGACAGAATAGAAGACATGAGTAAAGACATCTTGGCTCAAGTAGTCGCGGATCTGATTTCAAGCCCGGCAAAATTCAGCCTTCAACTCGACGAAACCACAGACGTTTCTGATCTAAGCCAGCTTGCTGTTTTTGTACGCTATGTGAAAGACGACATGATAAAAGAAGAGTTTTTATTTTGTAAGCCTCTTACAACAACAACGAAGGCAGCCGATGTGAAGAAGCTTGTGGATGACTTCTTCAGAGACAACAATCTTTCATGGGATATGGTTTCTGCAGTTTGTACGGACGGAGCTCCAGTCATGCTGGGAAGAAAGTCTGGTTTTGGTGCGCTAGTAAAGGCCGATGCACCACACATCATTGTGACGCATTGTATTCTGCACAGGCATGCGTTGGCAACAAAAACCTTACCTCCAAAAATGGCAGAAGTATTAAAAACTGTGGTGGAATGTGTGAACTATGTGCGAAAAAGTGCTCTGAGGCACCGCATCTTCAGTGAGCTGTGTAAAGAAATGGGCTCTGAATTTGAGGTACTTCTGCTCCATTCTAATATTCGGTGGTTATCCCGGGGACAGGTGCTGAATCGTGTTTTTGCCATGCGTGTGGAATTAGCCCTGTTTTTGCAAGAGCACCAACACTGCCATGCAGATTGCTTCAAAAATCCTGAGTTCATTCTCATTTTAGCGTACATGGCTGATATATTCGCAGCTCTCAATCATCTCAATCAGCAGATGCAGGGTGGTGGAGTCAATATCATGGAAGCGGAAGAACACCTGAAGGCTTTTCAAAAAAGCTACCGTTATGGAAACGACGAACAGAGAACAATAACTTCGCAAACTTCCCGCTTCTGGACGACTGTGCAAGTAAGATCGAAGATGTGTCTGGAATCGGAGATATTTCTGTATCCACGGAACTGAAGCAAACAATTGCCACGCACTTAGATGAGCTTGCAAAGTCTCTCGACGGATATTTCCCTACAAGAGAGTCA